CGAAAGGGTGGCAACGGCGGGGCTGGAGGAGGCAAGGCAGAGCCGGGGGCATGGTGTCAGACATGAAGCAGCTCCGACGGGGTGCTTCAGTGCCGAGGTTTCGTTTACGAGGGATCAGAAGTGTTTTCTCCTTGTGTCGTCTTAAAATAATATTGTGCGTTTCCTCGAGCTGAACGTCTCTGCTTTTCCTGCTTACGATTCTTGCGGAACCACTTCCATCAGTTTCTGGCACAGGACTGTTGCGGAGACTATGGGGAAGAAAGCAAAGCACGGGTCAGAGATCGCACACAGGGGCCCAAAATATATCTTGGTCTCGGTTCATGCTACTCTGCCTCCAAAGGGCTGACCAGTTCTGGGCTCCCCAGTTCAAGAACGGTGAGGAACTCCTGGAGAGAGTCCAGAGGAGAGCAACAAGGATGATGGGGGGACTGGAGCACCTCCCCTAGGAGGAAAGGCTGAGGGAGCTGGGCTTGTTCAGCCTGGAGGGCTGAGAGGGGATCTCATCAACACCTACAAATATCTCAAGGGTGGGGGTCACGAGGACGGAGCCAGACTCTTTGCAGTGGTGCCCAGTGCCAGGACAAGGGGCAATGGGCACAAACTGAAGCAGAAGAGGTTCCAGTTGAATATGAGGAAGAACTTCTTTACTTTGAGGGCGACAGAGCACTGGCCCAGGCTGCCCAGGGGGGCTGTGGAGTCTCCTTCTCTGGAGATCTTCAACCCCCGCCTGGCCGCTGTCCTGTGCCCCCTGCTCTGGGTGAGCCTGCTTGGGCACGGGGGTGGGACTGGGTGAGCTCCCGAGGTCCCTTCAAATCCCTGCCAGTCTGGGATTCTGTGACCCATTTGCCTCCCCCCCATGGTTCTGAGCAGGATCGGTCCCAATACAATTGCAGACCTGATAGCAAATGAGCCTGGGCTACTCCCTGCTGATGCCCAGAACTTAAGCATGGAACACTGGGAGCTTTGCTCCTGCAGCAAGGATGCTGTACTGCCCCGAGAGAGGCTCCGGCACTTCTGGACACCGGTCTCTAATTGCATGGTGATACGGTAACTACGTTTGGATGCCAGAACTGCAAGGATCCAAAACCAAGTCAGGCACAAGAGCAGGAACGGGCATAGAAAATAGGAGCTGATGCTTTGACTTCCAGCTGTGAAAACCTCGGCTGTACGTGCACGCAGCCTCTTTAAAGGCTCGAGCACCAGGGACAAAACCACTCGGCGTACTGAACACAAGGCAGAGTCCACAAGCCTTGCTCAGAGCAGGTGAAGAGCAAAGGAAGCATTTCAGACCCAAGCTGGCCCAAGGAAGGTGCTCAACTGAAGTAACTTTCTTCTTCCACCCCTTAGCTTTGGTGGCTGGCATCCCAACAGAGCTGCGCTTTCCGCCGCTTCCCCATGTGCTTGGAGATCGCAAAATAGTCTTGCCAGGTAAAGCTACCACTAACTACACGCAGAGTCAAACTCAGATCAGTTGGAGGTGATCAAATTATCTGCAGTATATCAATATACACACGTGTGTTTGAAGCTCATGTTTCTAACTGGGCATCTGCAGGATTATCAGTCTGTGTTCCCAGAATATTTTCTATATTCTCCTTACAAGCTTTTGGTGGTAGAAAACAATTACTATGGTAATTTGCCACCCAGGCACTGCAAAAATGGCTTTTCCAGGAACTGAGCCTAATACTCCATATACAAAAGTGAGAGAGAGAGAGAGAGAGAGAGAGATGCGGGGGGGGGGAAGAATAACAAGTGTTGAGCACTGTTAAAAGCCCTTTTCTTCTTCATAAAAAGCATCCAGCTAAGGCTGGGCATTTCTCCTCGTCTGCTTTTCTAGGTCAGCCCATTGTAGGAGAACTGGGAGGCAGACGGTAGAGTTTTGTTCCCTGGATAACACGGATTGACTTTCTTCATTCGGGTGTCCAGGCAGAGGCCGCGTGGGCCAAGCGCAGCCTCTCCATCCCTTCAGAGCACACCGTGGCGTAGCGGCAGCTGTCGGAAAGCCTTGTACAAAGATACCTTAAAAATAAACCTCGTGAGAGAAAGCATCGCGGGGATTTTCCCCTCCCTCTGCTCTGCTGCCACGTTTTGATGCCAAGGGAGAGCTTTGAGGGGATCAGAAATGTTAGCGCTGGCTAAGCCATGGACTGGGACTAATTCCGACTTTTCAGCAGTCAAACTGAGGCCAGCTGTGCCCAGACTGTTACACTGATACTTCTTTTCCTTTCCTACACCACTAGAAAGGGGTTGTCTAGGCTCGACCCTGTGCTTTTACAGGGAAAGGCAGCAACGTGCTCAGCGAATCACGCTCCGCTGCAGAGTAGCAACCTGTTTGCCAAGGTAAAAAAAAAAAAAAACCAAACCCATGGTATTTGGCCCAAACTTTGCCATTATCGCAAGTCAGGGTGCGCTTTGGGTGCTTGGTAGATAAGGTTATCATCAGGTTAAAACTTGTTACCGTTAAAAAAGAACGGATCAGAGCCAAGACTTTGGAAGCCTCCACTACATGAAGGGGAACCACTGCGACTGGCTGGAGCATGCTCAGCGGGAAGCTGCCGGTTTTGGAGCAAAAGGCAAGGCTGCACCCTTGCTCTTCACTGGTAATACTTACAGATGCCTTGGAGAATCCACTTGGGCTTGTTCTGCCACCAGACCCCGAAGAAGTAAACAGGGATCCCGCTGAAGATGATTGCAAAGCCAATCGCACATTCCTTCGGCGTCATCCAGAAGGAGACAGCAATGAGAAACAAGCACGCCAGGATGAAGAAAATGGGCAGGCAGATGTTGACCTAAACAAGGACCCAAAGGACAGGTTAGAAGCTGCAACAGGGGACCAGGCTCCACTTCCCAGTGACATTTATCCAGCTGTACAGCCCAGGGAGGGACGGAGTTCATGTTCCACCATGGACCCCTATGTGGATGGTGCTCCTGTCTCGTCCCGGTGCTCTGAACAAAGCAACTGTGCCCTTGAACTGCCATGGGGAAGGTACGGATTTAGGCAGGATTTCATCAGTTTAGGATTTCATCAATTTAGGATTTCATCAATCCTGGAGAAAACAGGCGTAGGCTAACACCTAACATGTACATTTAAAACCAGCAAAGCAAAGCACGGAGATGTGGCTTGCCGAGAGCCACGAGCCTTTCTCAGCACCCTTTTTTTTGACCCCAATTCCATACTTGAATGATTCCTTATAAAAACACCTGTCCCAACAGCATCAAATTCAGCTGCAACCGCAGCACGAGCCGTAGCATCATCATGGCAGGTTCTCGGGGGACTCGGCTACACCGCTCGGAGCAGGACACCCACCAAGAGCAGCCCAGCTTTTAGAAGAAAAACCAAAAAGGAAAAAAAAAACCCCAAAGGAAACACCCTGCGAAGGGTTACTTTGGGAAGGCACCGGTACGGGTCTGTGAGTTTGTTGCCTGGCAGAGAGTTGAGTGTGCGGGGGGATGAGTGAGGAACATGCCTTTAAGGAAGGCAGACACGCTTGCGGCTGACATGATCTTGGCCTCCTCCCAGATGGGACATGTTACTGCCAAGCTGGCCAAGGACAAAGAGAACAAAGTTCTCATCTCCGCAGGCGTGGGTTTGTCTGCTTTATTAAAAAACTATTTAAAGTGAATTCCATGATGGTACAGAGTGTTTCACTGAGAGCCGCAGCCTGTGATTCGTCCTGGGGAATACGTTGGTCACCGAGAGCTTCCCACTGGGCTACCCCCACCACAACACCCCGCATCTGCGGCACCCAGGACCTCCTTCACTCTGATCTCCCTGTGGCCATGGCAGCAATTCGCCCTCCTGCACCGATTTGGCAGTGTTAGCTCCAACACAACGTTTCCCCCTGCATGTTTGCAGTCCCAGTCCCTCCTCCGTAACAGGACAAGCAGCCATACAACACAGGGACTCGGGGAGGACCCACCACCCCGTTACCACGCTGCTCTCACCTTGATGGGCCTTTCCAGCTCGGGCTTCTTGTAACGCAGCCACATCATGCCGATGATGGCCAGAGCCACGCACAGCCAGTTGAAGAAGCTGAAGAAGTTGATGACTGAGAAAATGTTGTTGGAGAAGGCATAGAGCAGGGTCATGATGCACTGCCACCGGAAAAAAAAAATAAAAGCCCTTAGCGAAGGGAGTAGGCAAAAGCACATGTGTTAGAGCACTAAATACAGGTATTTTAGAAGGACTATCTGCCAGGAAAGAATCCGGTTGATTACTTTTTACTGATTTAGGCAATTTTCAATTGGTGCCCGGAGCGATTTCAAACCAGAAGTGGACAATGAGGATATGGTGAGAAGGAGAAGGGTCTCTCCTCTCCTGTAGGTGCATGCAGAACTGGCCGTGTCTGGAGATGGTGCCCAAGTAGCCCTGCTCCAACCATTGATGGGATCCTACCCCGGACCCATTTCTCAACACCAGGTCGACGCTCATCACCCAGGTGCTTACAGTAAAGACGAGGGATGGCACGGGAGTGAGAAGCCTGGGGTGAATCATAGACAGGATCGAAGGCAAGTGTCCTTCTCGAGATCCCACGAAGAACAGCCTGAAGCGGGGGGAGACAGAGCCGTTATCACCTCTGCAACCTTCAGCCCCGGGCTGGGGTTTGTCTTTAGCACAAAACAAGCGGGGACAGCCCAAGCTCAGTCAGTGCTGAGGCAGCCAGAGTGAAATGCCCAGGCTCCACGCAGGTTTTCCACCTTAGTGGTGCCTCGGCACGATGCCAGCGCTGCCCTTTTGCTAGTCACTGGTTCAGGACAGGGGCCCTCCAGGATCGGACCGCAGCATGGGGTGTTCTGCGCATACGCAGTGGAAAGTTCTTGTCTTAGAAGGAAGGCTGGAGACAGCCAAAGAATGCAAGGAAAGATGTGTTTATATCCTCCCTTCCAGAGAGAGCAATTAAGTGACTTTCCTAAGACAGCCCAGCAGATGCGTGTCAGAGCTGGAACCACCTCAGTCCCTGTCTTTTCTCCCCTTTCTGGAGGGATTCTCAGCCCTGAAGTTTCATAACTTTCTGCTTTTCATTAAAGCCACTTTCTCAGGCAACATCACCGAGCCCCACGCCTGTGTTTGTTTATGTTCTAATAGCTTCCACAGGACTTTGCCTGAGGAACAGAAGACTTAAGACCACTGAAAGAGTTTCCTTTAAACTGGATATGCTTTTAAAGTCTTACATTTTTTTTTTCCCGCCTTCCCCACATGGCCTCCAGACCCTTTCGACTTTGTGTCTACCCACAGCCGCTCTTTAGAGGACCGCTCCAAACGAAGAGGCATTAAGCATGACTTGTAAACAAACAAAATCGAGCAAGAAACCTACCGGGAAGAAGTGAAAAGAGACCCATTAACGGACCCAAAGCACGATAAGCCAACGAAGACGGGTATGATCCAGGACATGACACCAAGGTGATAGTTCCCAAAATCCTAAATGGGGGCCAACAAGACAAACATTTCACACCCAGAATGTCCAAAATAAGCTGCCTACATAGACTTAATAGGGCTGGCATCTCCAATAACTTGGCACTGTGCAGGCTGGAGCGGGGCTGGGTACCAGCCTGAAGGATGGAGCACTCCCACCTGAATGGCCCAGACCAGCTTATCCTGGGACTGGGAGATTCCCCTTGAGGCACTGGACAATCCTGGTCACACTCAGTTTGCAAGGTCATACCACGCTGCTCGCTTCTGAAGCAACCAGGATTTCTGACCGCAATGGCATTTTAATCAGTAGAAGTATTATTTTTCTCTCGTAATTAAAACAAGGAAGATACAGAGAGAGAACAATCGAGTTCAGTTGAATGACCTTTTCCCATAGATACCATGCTCCGGTAACTGATGAGAAGTCATGAGGCCAGCAGCAACCTTGCATATTTACAAATTAAGAGCAGCATTAACCATCTGCCCATCCTTACTATTGTCTCTGATTAATCCCACCGGGTATCACACTGTTCTTCCCTGCTCCCGTCACAGTTGCTCTTTATCTCCTGTCAAACATCAGGTTTTTTGCAAGCAGCCATGATCAGCACGGAACAAACTCGGAGATGCAGGCAGGCAGAGACTGTAAATCTGATTTAACCAGCCCTGGAAAACAGATGAGTCGCACCAGAAATGCACCTATCTTACCACGGCCACGGCTTCGGACGTCAGCATCTGGTCCGTCGACAGGGTGGTGAAGTAAGCCAAGTTTGTCAGCACGTAAACCAAAGTGACTACAGGCAGCGAGATGATGATAGCCAGAGGCAGGTTTCTAGGAAGAAAATAGAAATTGTAATGGAGCGCTGTCGATGGCAGGGATCGGAGGCGTGGCCGGTTCCCCAGCCACATGCTGCTCCCCTAGGAGAGGAGAAGATGCCCACACGGGAGCAGCCTGGAGGCTGACAGATGGAGAATTGAGGGATAATGGCCAAAGAGACTTTTTGCGTGGAGAGACTCTGGCTGTCTGGGCAAGCAATAATCCAAGATCACCGCAAAGGCAATTAATCAAAAATACCCCCCCTCCCCGCCCCTGTCTCTTGCTAGCTGGTGGCATTAGCCCATGCATTCTGTTCTGGGCAAAGGAGAAGCATTTGTGCTGGTGGGTTTCTTGAAAGATCTGGGATTTGGCAGGCGGTCTTTAGAGTCTAACTCTGTGCAGCTGGCTGGACCGATGAAACGCAAAGAAAATGAGTTCAGACACAGCCTGAGCGGGTCTGTAAAGACGAGGCTGTGCTGGTACAACCTCGCCTTTCCCAACAGTCTAACTTCATTTGCGAATGGAGGCTGGAAAAGGAAACCCTGCTTGATGCCACGTCTAATTGGTCTAGCGGAGCTCAAAGCCCCAGGAGGAGAGAGTCAAATACCATGACTGCATTCGGAAGACAAGAAAATAATTGCAATCTGCAAAAACTTTTTCATAACCGTGTTTGTCAAGGAAAGGGCATATCAAATCTGATGCTTCCCAGCAGGCCCTAATCGCTGCCAGGGTCAGCCACGAATGGGCTCTTGCACAAGCGACCCTGAAGCTTGTACCGACAGTGCCTCACGGGCACCTTCCCTACGAGCAAAACCCATTTATCAGCGATGCCCTGCTTTGGTGTGGCTCACCCTCATCTCACCAGGTCCCCTGCGTAACCCCAAAAGGCATGAGCAGTGCAGAACGCGGCCGTTGCTCAAGAGAACACGAAGAGCAGGCGACAAACATACGTACGCACAAATAGTCTTGTGGGAGTTTATACAAGACCGTGATAAAGTCACGAGTGCTTCTTCCTTCCCTATAATTCAGAGAGAAGCCATGCCAAGGACCTTCCACCAGCACTGATAATATCAGCATCCCTTCTCATACGGAGATAATTATTCCCCTTCCCCTATTCCAGGGAGGAACGATGCCATTTATTTACCTTGTTTTCTATTTCCCTAGAAAAAGACCCTGGCTTCTGGGCTGACTGGCAAGCCCTGTTATGCCCATGAGGAAAGGGCTTCCCAAAACCAAGTTTTCCTCGTAGGGAAGTCATCACGGGACACACACCTACCTGTAGGGATTTATCATCTCTTCTGTAACAAAATTCAAGTAATTCCTGTAATTTAAAAAGAGCAGTAGTTAATTCCGGTTAGTCCACGGAATAAATGAAGCCCTTCATCTTACTCATCTGCAAAGGGAATTTCGGGAGGGGTAGAGAGCCTGAAACCCTACGGTAAAACTTATGATGGCCGATGCCGAGTCCGAGACCTACGGCACAAAACCTGCAAAGCGCACGCCCTGGATGGTGCCGGTGGACGGAGCACCCCGTGCAGCCAGGTTCCTTCCAGCAGGAGGGGTGACTGCAGGTGAAGAGCTGGACCCAGAAGCCAGAGGGCCACCCTCCAGGCGGGAAGGACGGCTGTAACTGCCCTGTTTTCACAGCAAACTGAGCCAGCTCCTTGGGCTTGCAAGTGCTCAAAGGGGCTGATAAAGAAGCTCGCCGGCAGCTTCAGTTTGGTGCTCCAAATAAGCTGTTGGACGTAACGCAGCTCTCCTCTGCTAGCTGAACCCACCCTGCTGCTTTCTCTTGCCACCACCTAGGAGCTGCACCAAGCAACCCATCCTTTGCTGCCTCTTCCGAATCCCATGATGGCCCCCACTTTGTGCTTCTCTGTCCTGGCTGGCAACGGGGCATGAACTGTGACTGTTAATGTGACCAGGCAAACCAAAAGCATCTGCCTCATAGAATCCTTTAGGTTGGAAAAGACCTTTAAGATCAAGTCCAAGCCTCATTGCCCTGGTTACAAGGAAGATGGAAAGTCCTGGACCACCCTCTTCTTGCAAACACAATCTGGGGACAAAGGAAGGAATTCCAGTGTTTAGCACTGAAAAGAGATACAGGGCTGCGTCTTACCATCCTCCGTAGGCAAAGAGACCGCTGTACAAAGCCAACACAATGTTCCCCACGTCTTGTTTTGTGCCTTTGAAGGAGTGCTCAGGGGTCAGGTTGGACACATCACCTGCAGAAAACAAAACCAAGAAAGGATGGATGCAGATGGACCAGGAACCCCAAGGGCCTCTGTGGGCGTGGGAACAGAGAAAGCTGGAGGCAAAAGCTGCTCTTCAAATTACACTGATGCATTCCGGGTTATGCTGGAGAGCACGTGCACATATTTCTATTGGGCTGATTCCTCCAGTTTTACGGTGCTCAATTCATCCGGAGTAAGGCACCAAGTAATCAGCCCCAGATATACTCGTCTCAAGCAACTGGCCATTACTCCAAACTTTCCCACACTGCAACGTGCTATCCCAGAGTAAATCTCCCAGATATCTTCTCTTGGTGAAGAAAACATTCTGGGGACCTTCCTGCTGGAAGATGCTACGCAAACAGATATTGTCGCATTGTCCCCTCGGCTGAAAGCTGCTTTCGTTTGATAAAACCCCAGGATTTCCTCCACTTCCACCAGCCACCCAGTAAAGCAGAAACCCAGGATTTCCTCTGGTCCCACCAGCCACCTGATAAAGCAGAGGGTTAGGGCAAACCCTTTGATTGTGGGAAGTCAGGTTCCTTGGGGCTTGAATATCAGAAGTTAGCTTCTTCAGGGCTCGAATATCAAAAGTTCCTGTTTTGTATCTGCTTTTGAATTAAAAAGCCATAAATAGGCAACTCGATTGTACCTTTGGTAAGAACTCTCCCACAGCAGCCAAGGGTTTATTTATTTTGCTTTAAAATGCTCTGTGGTTGTTTTGTTCCCCGCCTTTTGATGTGGAGCCTAGGTGTAAGCCTGGGATGGCGAAGCCACGCTCCCCTCCCCGGCCCTTGGTGAGGACAGAAGCGGGGAGCGAGGCAGGATTCGGCAGGGCACGTTTGCATGCAGGGAGCCCCGCCGAAGCTCATGTGACTCCTCTTAGAGCACAGATCTTTACTAATCACCCAAGCAACTGCATCACACGGCAGTCAGCAGGGCCTGGAGCTTAACCCTTCAGCACAAGGTACCCAGGATGTCCGTCTGGGAAAAGGAGAGGGATGCTATCATACCAGGCATTTCCCCTCTGGATGGCCTCTCTTCCCATCTCACGCTGGGAACTTTCACTCCCCTATGCCACCAAAGGCCACGTTTGCAGAGGCTGGGCAACAAATTTGGATGCCACGGACCTTTTAACGCCTCACACTCACCTTTCTAGCAGTGGGAAAGGGGGGACTCTTCCCGATGGCACCATCGGTCTGCTGGGGCATTTTATCCATGGGGCTTCGCAAGGGACTGCTCCAAATCTGTGCCAGTGACATGGAGCTGCCCCGTGTGCGTGGGAGAGCTGCATCTTGTCTTTCCCCCTCTCTACCTGACCCTCCAAGCTCCAGCCCCATCCTTTCCATCCTGGGCATTGCTCCCTTCGCCTCCTTTCTCCCTCCTGCTCCTGCTGAGTCCTAACCAGGGCAAAAAGATATTCCCTATCACGGGGTCCAAAATGCTCTCTGCTCACAAAACTACTCAGAAACCAAGCTGACCACAGCAGCACTGGGCAATCAGGTCTGGGCAACACCAGTTTTCCCAGGCTCTGCTTGTCCAGATCCCGCTGCAGGTTACAGTTCTCCACTGGTGTTGCCTTGTCCCTCTCTCCCAGCACCTCCTCGCTAGGAAGGTCTCTTCTAAATCTCCCTTGGGATATGCTGGTTGTATTTAATGCCCCTTTAGCCAGCACATCTCCTTAGCAAAATGCCCCAATCGTTTTTAAAAGGTGAGAACATGTACATCAGAGTAACAGGAAAGCCAGGAAACACCAAGAGGCTGATGTGATGCTGCCAGTGCAACCTTAATTCCTGGCTTATAGGTTCGGGCATATAATCTTAATTTATCATTAATGCCCCAGCCTGGCTGTGAACAGTAAGGCTGAGCGGGAGGCGGGTGTGCATGGTATCACATTCTGCTCCATCCTGCCGGCTCAGCTTGTCTGAGTTTGTTTTCTGCCTCTCCTGAATAATTACCGGTCCAATTCTTTCCAGGTCTTTTGTTATGGGAATAAAATATACTTTTTGTTAACAGTGACTGTAATTAGCTGCTGGAACGGCAGACGGATAGATCAGGAGATCTCTGCAGGTGTTTCCAGCACCCCTCGGGACACCTCTTCTCAAAGGTTTGCTCATGCTCTGCCAGCAGCCCAGCTCCCCCCAGGCCAAGGCGTCACCACCTTTACCACGTCAGGATGCTCGGATCCAGGAGCCAGGGCACAAGCAGCATCACGCCGTGGGCTCAAACCTCTGTTTCTTAATCCACAGCTGGACACCAGCTTCCACCCAAAAGTTCCACTCCTTCTGTTTGTCACAGGCAAAAAGCTCTCAGGCCAAACGTTCCTTCTCCTGAAGCATCTGCAGGTTTCGCTCGGTGCCTTCCCAAACCTCGCGCAGAAACCATGCGCTGGTGCCTCCAAGGAAGGGCTGAGCTTGGGGAGGAGGGGAGAGCATCCGCAGCCCCCAGCCCAAAACCACAGGCCTGGATGCAGGATGTGCCACCCGCTTGGGAACCGTGGGGCATCTTCAGCCTCTGGGCGAGGAAGGGTCCGAGCCCACCCTGGATGCTCTGGCTGTGCGTCAGGGCCGCCTGCCCTCCAGGAGGCAGGAGCAAAGAGGGGGGGGGAAAGGCAGCCTGGGACCGCTATGGGAGCGGCAGCGAAGCAGAGGGATTAAAACAAACTGCTCGCACGCCTCTTCCTTGCCCCCCAATTCCAACGCAGCTACTGGCAAAGGAGAGGCAAGTCGGCCCGGAGGCAGCCCGCAGGGGGGAGTAGGCAGGGAGGAAGGAGGGGGCTTCTTGCTCCTCCTCAGCACCTGAGGAGCTGGCAACTCGCTGCCCCCTCCCTGCCTCGCCTAGCAAGAGCTGTACCTCTCCAAAAACTTGCAGCAAGTTGCTAAACTTCATGTCTCTATGCTCCCATGGTAAAATGGATTTAGCAACATGTCAGAACGTGATTAAATAAGGGGGGGAGCCGAGACGGAATCACAGAATTGTTTGGGTTGGAAAAGACCTCTAAGATCATCAAGCCCAACCGTTCCCCTACCCCTGCCATCCCACCACTAAACCCTGGCCCTCAGCACCTTGGCTGCCCGGCTGTTAAATCCCCCCAGGGATGGGGACTCGACCCCTTCCCTGGGCAGCCCCTTCCAGTGCTCTGTAGAGATCTCTCTCTTCACAATCCAAGGAGACAGGCTCGTATCCTCAGGTGTCCACGCGATGCTTTTTTGCTGCGACTTTTGCTTCTTTCATGCTTTATCACTTCCTGATGGCAACGACAGGAGCCTGGGCTCCTTAACAAACACGCTCCGAAGACTGCGTCCCGGCAGAGCAGCCGTCCTCTCCCACTGTCACCGCAAAGCTCCGGCCAGCAGATCACCAGAACGATAATAATTTGTGCCCATCAGCGACGCCTTTACAGCCACAGCTGACGCCACATTACACATCTTGGGGTAAAAAGAGCCAAGCTCTGGCAGCGATGCCGGAAGGGTATCCCAGATACGGCGGGTGAGCTCTGACCGTACCCATCGTGCCCTGATCTCGTTAGCAGCCCCACGCACGATTAGACAGAGGTTCAAGTAGTCCTGAAGACAGATCCTTGGAAGTGAAATCCATCGCACCAGGATATCGCCTCTGGTGCAGAAGATCCAGAGGTGCCCTGGAGGCTGAGAAAGTGTCGAGGAAGCACCACCCACTGATGCTAGCTATGGGCCCCAGCTGGAGACTGGGGATACTGGGGAGATGGTGCAGCGTGGTCATTCTTATCTCCTTCCTCCACAAACGCTCTTTAGGACCCGCTGTTCAAAACAGGGGTATGAACCTCAGTTCCAGACACTCCGCACCTTTCAAGCCTCAACCTCCAGACTTTGGAGGGTTGCGTTGTGGACTTTGGGTCAAGCCAAGGGTTACAGATCTGCAAATGAGGCTGCCAAGCACAGCCTCCACGGCTCCCACGGAGCAAGAGGTCGGTAAGCAAGAGCATCCCGGGCAAAGGGGTGCTCTGCCCACCCTCCCGGCTGCCCCGTCCCCGCAGCCACGGCCGCTCTCCAGGCCATGCCTTGCCTGTGCCTGGCACCCTGGCGATCTGAAACCTGGTTTGAACTGGCTGTTCAACTGCACTCTGCTCTACAATTAACCAAATTAAGGTAACAAGCTCTGACATAAACCCCATTTGCTGATCTTGCCAGCTGCCAAGACTCTGGTAATTGCGCCGACAAGTGATGGGTCACCTGGGGCCTTTCTGCGGGAGGGACCTATTTCGGGTCCGTGCACTGCGTGTTCAGACCCTTTCTTTGAAAGTGTTCATTTGCTCCCCAGTCGTGTCCATTCCAGTTTTAATAGCCCAGCAATCTTCTCTTGCAGAAAGCATTTAATGATAATGAAATATTTTTAACTTGCCTAAACAGCGAGGAGAGGGAACACAGCCATCTAGAGAGCTCAGCGAGGAGGAAGGGGGCCCTCAGCATGTCTCGCTCGTGGGGGAAACCAAGCCAGGGGGGAACTGTGTCGTATACATGAAAAACCCCAGAGGAGAAGATCCACTCAGCTGCTGAGCTGTTTCCCGAGAAAAGCAGTGAACGTTCGATTGACCGAGTCAAAAAACAAGATGGCAAGAAACAGGCAAGGGCCAGGGTTAAAGAGCTGCTCTTCAGCAGGTCGTGGCTCCCCAGAGAACCCACGCTCCGTAGCCACGTAAGCTGTTTGCTCCTCTCTGATTGCTGCCACTCGGCAGCTTTGTATTGAGCAGGTTTGAACAGTAGCGATGAAACTTGGGTCTCCATAGCAGAGACACTACCAGAAACCCTGGACCAGCAGCACAGAGGGCATCCCAGAAGGAGCCGGAGCTCCTGGATTATGTCCTTGGTTCTCACCACCAGCCGTGGACAGGCTACGACACCTTCCCTCATTTCAACGACGTCCTTCTGCTTTACAGAGACGTTCCTCTCTCCTTCCAGTGCTGGGAAGTGCTGTCGATATTATTTCTCCTCCAGGGTGAAGCCAAGGGTCTGGGC